TTAGGTTTGGTCTCTTGAAGTGATCATTCATCTCTTGCAGGTTTTGTTCTGTCTTTTTGAGTTTCTTTTCTATGCTTTTGACAGTTTGGGTTAGTTCTATGTTTTGGTCTTCTAGCTCTGAGATTCTTTCTTCTGCTTGGCTAATTCTACTTTCCATGCTTATTAGTCTGTTGTTCATTTCCATTACAGTATTCTTTACTGCTGTCATTTTGACATCAGCTCCTTCCTATTTTCCTCTTGTCTCTCCTCAAGTTTTTTAATTCTCTCCATTAATGTCTTGATGTCTGGGTTTGTTGCATGTAACCAGTCATTCTGGGGACTCTTCATTGTCTGTGTTCCAGTATCTGTTTTCTCAGTGTCTGATTTCCCAGGGGTCTGTGTAAGCCCTATATTCTTCTTTGGTTTTTCTTCATTTGTGCGGTTTTTCCCCCTCCCTACTTTTTCCTTCCCTCCACATCACCGTCTTCTCTAATTCTGTTATTCAGGGGTAAAGGGATTGGTTTTACTACTGTTTGTTCAATCTCCTATTCTTTATGTATGTCCTCTTACTTTGTTCAATTCTGGAGTTGCACTGTAGGTTGGGAGTGGTCCTTTGTGCAGTTTTGAAATTTACTTAAGGGTCGAGCTGTGATTCAAAATCTATCTGCAGGTCCAGGTATTCGCTGACAGGTGTGTGGATAATCTGGAACCCACTTCCCACTGCCTTGGAGTCTGTCCATGCAGTGGGGCTGTAGGTTTACTCCCTGAAATAAAATATGGTTAGCAGAGGGAAGAGAATGGAGCAGACGGTGGGTTGAAGAGGGGAGTGGGGAGATAGAGGAGTAAGGGGGGAAACAAACGTGTGCCAACAAATGGAGAGAGAGACCTATACTGAAACAGATAAAAACAATAGACCACAGCTACTGACGAACCAAGTCCCATACAAAAAAAATAAAACATATAGTGATGCTAACATACAAGCTAACCAACCACCTTATTGGTGTGCTGTTCCTCTATATAAAGATATAGTCTACAGAGAGAAGAAAAGAGAAGAAAAGGAAGAGGGGGAAAAAAAAGGAACAAACAGTAGGAATAGAATTAAGTCATTAAACTAACAGAATCAATGAAGCACTCTGAGACTTTTCATTTAAGTCCAATGTCCTTTCAGTTCTGATTTCTAGCTTTCTTTTCAAGCAGATAAATTAGTTTGCAGTTAGGGTTAGTTGCCCCTGGTCTGCTGTGAAGGACATTTCAGATCACCCTGCATTCACCACTCTGGCCTATGTCCTTTTCAAGCTTGTTTCTCCCGTTTCGTTGTTGTTACCTTGAATCGGCAGCAGGTGATGCTATCTAAGCTGCTTGCCCCAGAGGTGGTGGGGCTGACAGGAACCGGCAAGACTGGAGATGGATGCCTGCTTCAGGGCACAGGCAGGAGACTCATGGCGGGCAGGATGTCTCGGTTGTAGGAGAGGTGGCAGCGATCCCAGCAGATCTTCCCTGAAGGGACTTCAAGGACTGAAGTTGTGGATCGCCTCTCGTCCGGGTGGTGCGATGTGCTACTGGTGGTGGCTGTGGTGGCTGCAGCGGCTGCAGCAGCAGCAGCATCTGCACTGCAGTGGCTGTCTAGTCTGCTGTGATGCCCCAGCGGTGGCAACGGCTGAGCTCCATATGAAGAGCAGGCTGCGATTTTGGGGTCTGCAGCCCCTGGGGTGAGAGCCAGAGACCCACTGCAGTTCTCCTTTGCAGAGGGCTTCACAGACCAGTTTGCCCCATTGCCATCTTGCCAGAAGTCCCCTTTGATGATTTTTGAGAGACAACAGGTAGGAGACTAGGGACTACTAGGCTGGGGAAAACTTTTAATTAGAGTGATTAGGTAATGCTTTACCTAGAAAGGAACATTCTGACAAAAACTTGGAGGAGGTGAGGGAACAAGCTGTGCTCTGAGAGAGTGATTAAGCCCAAAGTCCAGAGGTTGAGAAAGTTCATGAAATGGCAAGGAAGGCATTGTAGCTTCAGTGTAATCAGTGAGGGGAGTATAATTGGAAATAAGGTGAGAGAAAACATGGGGATCCTGGTGTTGGTGGTGCTGGTCAGAGCTTTAGAACTTGATAAGCCATTTTGATAACTTTTGTTTTCACTAAGTGCATTTAGGAGACACTGTTTGTTGTACTTGTTTTTTAAGCAGATTGGTGCATGTTGTATTTTATATTTTTAAAGGATCACTCTGATTACACTGCCAAGAATAGTCACAATGTTGGGGTGGAGTTGGTTAAGGATAGAAGACTAGTTAGAAACCTAGTATTGCAGATTACAGAGAAAGGTAGTTTAGACCAGAGTTGTAGCAGTAGAATTGGAAGGAAGTGTCAAATTTTTGCATACTCTGGAGATTAACCTGATAGGATTTCCTGGTGGATTATGTATGGGATGAAAGAGAGTGGAGTCATGTATGATCGAAGATATTTGTCCTGAGAAAATTGATTTCAACTTTGTTTTTATCCTCATTTTTTTCTTATAATTTTAAAATGCTTAATATATCTAAAACAATTTTTTTTTTGAGTTCGAGTCTCACTCTGTCGCCCAGACTGGAGTGCAGTGGCCGCTCCCGGCCACCGCAGCCTCGACCTGCTGGGCTCCAGCGATTCTTCTACCTCAGCCTTCCAAGTAGCTGGAATTTACAGGCACGTGCTACCACGCCCAGCTGATTTTTTGATTTATTGTAGAGATGAGGTCTTGCTGCCCAGGCGGGTCTCAAACCCGCAGGCTCAGGCAATCCACTCACCTCAGCCTCCCAAAGGCCTGGGATTACAGGCTGAGCCACCGAACCCGGCTTCTAAAACAATTTTTTATGGTCTCTGGGTTTTGTCTCTTGAAGGAAGCTTTCTTCAATAAGATTAGAAGAAAATCTTGTATTTTCTTCTGATACTTTTAGGTCTTTTAATAAGTTATTTCTTTTGTCTATCTGGTATTTATTTTTACTTTCACTGAAGCAGAGGTTCTCAACCTCAGAATGATTGACATATTGGGCTGGGCAACTGTTGTGTTGTGGAGGACCCTTCTGTGCATCGTAGGTTATTTAGCAGCATCTCTGTCTTCTATTCACTAGATATATCAGTAGCACCTACCTCCTACCCTCACTTATGACAACCAAATATATTTCCAGACACTGAAAGTATTCCCATGGGGATAAAAAATCGCTCCTGGTTGTGAACTATTTTAGTAAAAAACGTTAAAAAAAATTGAAGTCCTGATTTTGAAATATGCGTATTTAAGGAATACTGTGCACTGTTGTGTTTTCATCACATCGATGTCATTAAAGACCTGCTAGAATACTGGCCAGAGTTTCAGCTGAATGATCTTAAATTTTGAAAAAGGGAGAAATAATAAGCTGATTCTGTCCCAGAAGGGTGCCCTGCTTATTTTTTTTTGTATTTGTGTCTTTTATTCTTATTTCAGTTCTTATCCATGATTATGTGGTTTAGTTGAAAGAACGGCTGGAAGCAGTGGAAGTAATATACCTAGAGAACTGGACTGATAATCAGAAAACCTAATCGGAAGCCTCAATCTCTTTGATCTTCAGTTTGTGGGTATGAAAAATGAAAATCTTATTGTGAATATCAGTTCAACTTGTGCTAAAAACTTTTAATAAATGAGTTATTAAAATAAAGAACTATTATTTTATGCACTTTACAATTTTTGAGGAAATGTATGCTATTTAAAACTTATATCATAATTCTGACCCTGTACTCTTCAAGACTGTAGTCACTAGCCACATATAACTATTGAGCATTTGAAATGTGTGCTGGGCTCAGTGGCTCAGCCAGTAATCCTGAGCTTTGGGAGGCTGAGGTGAGTGGATTGCCTGAGTCCGCGGGTTCGAGACCTGTCTTGGCAACTTGACGAGACCTCATCTCTACAATAAATAAAAAATTAGCCAGGTGTAGTGGCGTGCACCTGTAGTTCCAGCTACTTGGAAGGCTGAGGCGGAAAGATCGCCGGAGCCCAGCAGGTAGAGGCTGCAGTGGATGGAAGTGTCCACCGCACTCAAGTCTGGGTTACAGATTCCAACTGAAAAAAAAAAAGAAATATGGTTAGTCCAAATTGAGATGTACTCTAAACATAAAATGCATACCATAATTTAAAGATGTAATATTAAAGAAGTCAAATATTATGGTAATAATTTTATATTGATTATGTGTTGAAGTGATAATAGTTTGGATTTATTGAGTAAAATAAATTATCAAAATTAATTTGTTTTTTACTATTTAATGTTGTTACTAGATAATTTAAAATTACATATATGGCTCAATTGTATTTCTAGTGAATACCACTAGTCTAGATTTATTAGATGTTAATTTATAGAAGACAAACCACAACGAGTGATATCACCTATCATATGTATCCTATAGTATTAGGGAATCTAGTATAGGAAGAATTTTTTCATATAAATTTTAATAGTGTTTGCAGACTGTATTTTCCTCAAACCCTAGGGGAACTGTGATTCTGCGCATTTTTTTGTTCAAATTTAATTGAGGAGTTTGTGAACTTTGGAGTTAAATTTTTAAAAATATAATTTTAGAACAAAACATGCAAATATTATATATTAAATGTAAAAGTGGAGAAGAGCACTAGTTAGTGCCATCAGATTAACTCATCGATTATTTACGTTGTGTCTCCTCCATATTTTTATTTGACTCTACTTGTGTTGGATCATGTATAATTGTGAAAGCAGGTGGACTGTTACATATATTTGAGCTAGATTTTGCCAGTACTGTGTCGTCAAACACAATAATAAGGAAAATTATATGATAAAGGTGCTATAAGCTTGAGTTTAATAAAAATGACTTTATTATTCTCATATACTTACTTTTATAAGTAAATTTTATAAAGTTTTGAAATTATTAGAACACATTCATTTTATAGATATTTTTTGTATACTTTTTATATCTTATATTAGTTTAAGAAGGGCTTCTGCTGAAAATAATGGCTTGAACACAAATATAATTCAGCTTCTCATTTTACAGATTTAGAATCTGATTGTAAGGAAAAACAGTTTCCCAAGTTTCACACAATTTATTGAGTCCTGATATCTAAATACTGTGTACACAGAGTAAGTACTTCCTATGATACAGTAATGTTCTAGAGTATATAACATTGAATAGGGATTATCTAGAACATTTAGATTTAAATGTTTATGTCTTTAAAATAACATAGTTTATTGTATAAATAATTTGTTCGGTTTTAAATTCCTTGTATATATTTTTCCTGAGTTTTTCTGAATTATTATAGTTTGTTCTTTAATTTTTATTTCAATAGTTTTGGGGTACAAGTAAGTTTTTCCCATTGCATGGATGTATTGTATAGTGCTGCAGAAGTCTGGACTTTAAGAATACCTGTCACTCCCACTAGTGCACATTGTAAACAATGTAATTTTTCATTTCTGACCCCCTTCCTAACCTCCCCCTTCTGCATCTCTAATAATCATTATACTATTCGTTATGCTTTTGCAGACCCCTATCTTAGCTCCCACTTATAAGTGAGAACAAATGGTACTTGATTTTCCATTTCTGCATTACTTTGCTTATTTATGGCAGCACAATTCACAATTTTGAAGATGTGAAATCACCCCAAATGTAATAACTTGGATGGAATTGGAGACCATTATCCTCAGTATAGCTTGGTCTTCAGATGCACAAGGTTAGGAGCTTTATCCATAATACTGGGCATTTTCTTCATGATCCTATTAACTAAGCATTAGAGAGGCAAGCAAAGAAGACTGATTTACATACACAGAATAGGATATTCTGTCTCCTTGATTAAGAAATTTTTTTCCGCCGGGCTCGGTGGCTCAGCCTGTAATCCTGCGACTTTGGGAGGCTGAGGTGAGTGGATTCCCTGAGCGAGCGGGTTCGAGACCCGCCTGGCCAGCAAGACCTCATCTCTACAATAAATCAAAAAATCAGCTGGGCATGTAGCGCATGCCTGTAATTCCAGCTACTTGAAAGGCTGAGGCGGAAGGATTGCTGGAGCCCAGCAGGTCGAGGCTGTGGTGGCCAGGAGCGGCTACTGCACTCCAGTCTGGACAACAGAGTGAGACTTCAACTCAAAAAAAAAAGAAATTTTTTTCCATTGTGGGGCCCTTTGGTAAGCATTAAATGAGACTTTAAATTTTTATGTCAATTCTTAGAGATCCATCCACATAGCTCTTCAGGTTTCTTCATAACGCATTCTTCAATTTTGCCCCTTCAGAATTCCTAATCATCCTGCAGAAACGGTTAGCCACTGCACATTAATATGCATAGATTCTTAACTCAAGCAATTTCTTCTTCAGTCAAAGTAGATGTTATGGTAGGTCTGTCAACTGTGAAGATTTCATTTCATTTCTCAGTCAGGGGCTCCCCTGGATTCGGGTATAATGTCTCCACAATCTATTTCTGGATGTTGCTGGCATTAAGTGAGAGCCATGTGTAAACCAGGCTCAGATATTCCCCCTCTGAGGTGAAACTCCTCAGAAGGCCATTTATAGTATTTGAGGGATGGTTAGTGGTGTGGAGGAATAGGGTTCTGATAGTTTGAGTAACCTATTCGTATACTTCCTTGCACCTTTGGGTATTCTTTCATTTACACATACTATATATATCAACTCCATTTAATAAAAGAGTTCTGCTGTGTATACCTACTTTTTATACCTAAAAAAGGGCAGCATGGTTTCTGAGAGATGTATGTATTTTTCCTTTCCCATTACCCACATGAACGAACAGTCACAGGAGCTTTTAGGTAAATGCCTGGAGGAAAGTTCTTGGTATAATCCAACATAGAATTCTTTTAAGAGCCCCTGATCTTCTTTTCATGTAAGGAATTAAAGGGCTATAAACTGAGTAAGGTCTGGGAATTAGGTGAAGGCCTGCGACTTTAAATAATGAAAACTTAAGAAGTCTTTTGTATCTTGAAGGCTTTTGATTTTTTTCATGAAAGTCCATAGTATTGCTCATTGATTTTATTTTTAGAGACTCCATGGTCAAATAAGCATAGCTCAGAATCTCTTTAGATCAGACCCCACTGATTATCACTCCAAATTAATTACACACAAAAGAAAACCATAGTTACTACCCAGATGTCCCTAAATCTTATCTCTTTTTCTAGGTTTCCTATGTCCTGTTGTAGTTGTTGGTCTTGGGTATTTGATTTCTAGAAAGGGCTTCTGTTCTGTTATTTCCTTCTGAGATAATGTTTATACTTTGATAGGATTGTATACTCTGGCTTTATATGTTCTTCTTTCATCATTTTATCCTTTTTCCTCTGAGTTGTGGGGTGTCCTGTCAAAAATTTTATTCTATTTATTTTCATTTTGGGTTCAGTTTTCCCATTGTAATTTTAAATTTCTCATGTGTGTATAGTTCATTCTAATCCCAGTTGTTACATTTTCATGACTAATTAGTCATATAAAAATGCATTATTCTCTCTTGACATTTTTGAGGACAGGAATCATATTTGAAAACAATTATTTGCTTTTTCTTTCAATACATTTATTCCTGGTGGGAGCATTTTTTTGTTTTCTTTTAAGTGGTTCCCTCATTTTTTGGGGGGGGGAGGGGGTAGGAGAATCCAGTATTTTTCTCTTACTCATTTTCATAAGAAAGAAATTGGTGCTTGTCAACTGTTAAGAATCAAAGGAAGAGTCAAAATAAGTTGTATGCTATCATAGTAGATATTAGTTCTTGCCTGAAGTTGGGGACTATCTTATATTTCTTGAATATTTGCCTTATCATCTTTAGAATCCTAAAAATCTGGAGATTACCTATGATAGAGAACTTTGCATCTATGCTAAAGAGATTTTCCCTTTTCCCCTTTGTGTGGCCAGTCATGCCAGTGACAAGGTCTGAATGTACCTAATATGCTTCAGTGTCTTTCCATGCTTAGGTTTCTTTACTGGTGTCCAAGCCTCAGCCTATTTCCCTCAATCAAAGAAGCATCCTGGGATTGCATAATGTTGTTGATGGTATCCAAATATTGCTAATTCACACAGAGTAGGGAGTCTAACAGTGTGTCCTATTTTAGCTCACCATCTTCCCCTTGCTTCTAGCACTCACTCCTTTGAGTTCTGAGTTGTTGGAAAGAATCTGCATGAGGGAAAATGGTTTTCTCACAGGGGGAGAATGAGATCCCCAGTGGGCCTAATTTGGCTTCTTCCATTATAGCACATCTGCTGACTATCTAGTGGGAATTTGTTGAAGTTTCTGGAAAATAAAGGTTGCTCCTCTCTGTTTTCTAGTGATGGTACATATTTTCCCTACTTAAAAAAAAATGCTTTCTTGATTATTTTGATGAAAAATTTTGAAAATGTGGAAAGCAGTGAACAGTTAGGTTTTGTTTATCTCACCATCTTGTTCAGTGTATATACTTTTATTTGCATATTTAATTTGATGAAATTTTTAGGTTTATATTCACATACAAATTAATATAAGGCTAATTGCATTTAATTTTGACTGCTAATTAGTACTTATTTTTGCTTTTTAGAGAATGGATCCCACATCTCTTTTACCAACATTTTTAAAAATAGATCTGACAATATCGCATATTGAATGTCTTCTCACAGATATTCTGGTGAAATTTGAAGGCATAAATAATAGTGAATGTGAGTTTGACTATCATATATTGCAGAAGGAAATACAACATTGTCCAAAAGTGAAAAATAAGTTGGACATTGATGACTTTTGTTTGGTGGAAGAAAGCGTATCCGGAGAATGGCAGAGAGGAAAAGTTGTGAAAAAGAAAAATGAACTTTATACAGTACTTCTCATAGATTGTGGAAAAGAACTAAGAGTTGATAGTACACAGGTTGCTTCAGCCTGTGGTGATTTATTTGAGCTACCACCACGAGTAGTATTTGGCATTTTTGCTAACATACTACCAGTTGGGGAAAAATGGTCTCCTAAGGCTTTGAATTTTTTCAAGTCATTACAAGGAATACACGTGAAAGGCTATGTGCAAGCGACTTTGCCTCAGCAAAGGATTCTTCTTGAAGTACCCAAAATTATATCCCAGGCCCTAGAATTACAATTAGGAAGATTTATTGATAGAGATTCATTTTGTCTTATTGTGGAAATGTTAAAAGAATGCCCTCCACAAATGCCAGATTTGTTACAACTTAGAAGACCTGAATTGTTGTTAACTAGTAATGATATTTCACTTAATATTCATTATGTTCTGGATAATTTACAGCCATCTTTGTCAGTAGGAAATATTGAAAGTGTAAAGGTATCATCTGCGTTGAGCCCAAGTAAATTTTATTGCCAGTTAATTAAATGGATTCCAGAGCTAGAAAACTTGACAATGTGTATGACTTTGCATTATGATATTATTAGTCAAGAAACTAGTCCCATGTGTGACAATTTTGGATTATTTTGTGTTGCCAAAAGGAGAAATGGACAGTGGCATAGAGGAATTCTTCAGCAGCTCTTGCCCAATAATCAGGTAAAAATTTGGTTTATGGATTATGGCAGTAGTGAGACTATACCCTTAATTTATGTCAAGAAACTTAAACACGATTTTATTTTAGTACCATTATTTTCATTTCCATGCTCTCTGACATATTTGCACAGTTCAGATAGAGATGCAAGAGAATTTCAACTGAGTGTATTTAAACAAGCCTTGTTAGGACAAATAGTATATGCACACATTGATTGGTTCAATAAGGATGAACATTTGTATTATGTGACATTACAAATGCAAAACCCTACAACTAATTCTATGTGTCTGCTGAAGTCTATAGACAAACAAATACTTTGTCCAGTGTCTGATTCAAAAACCTCCAATATCTTGAGTAAGACAAGTGTTTCTGATGTAAACAACTTTGCAGTTGAGAGTTTTATTGGAAATATTGAATGGCCAATAGATTCTCTAAAGAAAAAAGACATTTTAAAATTAGGGTTTTCTATTAAAACTGCAAAAATGGAGATAGAGACTGCATACATAGGTTTTGTAACATACATATCAAACCCATCAAATTTCTGGGTACGCACCAATAACTATCAGAATCAATTTCAAGATATAATTAAAAATATGAATACATTTTATAATTTGTGTGAAAATGATGAAATGATTCTAAGAAAACCTGAACCTGGATTATTTTGTTGTGCTAGATATAGCAAGGACAGAAATTTTTACAGAGCTGTCATCACAGAGATAAATTGTTGTAAGATTAATGTTTATTTTTTGGATTATGGAAATACTGATTCCATACCATTTTTTGATGTAAAAATTTTGCTTCCAGAATTTTATGAATTGCCTGCCTTAGCTATGTGTTGTTCACTTGCACATATATTTCCCATTGAAGATTTATGGGTAAAGGCTGCAATTGATTATTTTAAAAAACTAGTTTTAAACAAAGCAGTTTTGCTTCAAGTTATAGCAAAAAGAGATGACAAATATATTGTAAATATTCAAAGTATTGAAACCTCAGAAAATATAGATGTCATCTCTCTTATGTTACAAGCTGGATATGCAGAAAATCAGGAAGTGGAACCACAGTATTTTCCTGTAAATGGATATTCAGTGTTAAATTTAAAATCTAAAAGCAAAGTTAAAATTAATGACGTTATGCCTGCCCTTGTTGAAGGACCTAAATCTGAAAAGTACCATTCAGATAAACCAGAAGAAAATAATTTGTCTTTGTCAAAGTTCCCAGTTGTTAATTTCTCAGATTCAAAAAATCCTTTTACCTTATCTAAGAGACCTGAGTTATTATGGCCTTATAAAGAATATATTTTTAAACCAGGAACGATTCTTCAAGTTAAATGTTCTTATTGTTATGGTCCAGGTGACTTTTCATGCCAGCTCCAATCTAAGTTAGAAGACCTAAAATTACTAATGGAAGAAATTCAGAATTATTTTAGCAATCATTCTGATCCTTATCAGATTGGGCAGATTGCTTGTGTTGCTAAGTATTCTGGGAAGTGGTATAGAGCTGCTGTTTTGACTCAAGTATCAGAAAAAGAAGTTGACATAATACTTGTTGACTATGGTTACCAAGGAAGAGTTTTAACTAAAGATCTTTGTGCTATTAACCCACGTTTTCTTTTTTTAGAAGGCCAAGCCTTTAGATGTTGTCTCCATCATTTTGTTGAACCCATTAATTATAAATTATTCAGTTGGACAAAAGAAGTATCCAGAGACTTTGGAAATTTTATCTCTTTGTCTAGAGGGTTTTTGACTTGTATTGTGTATGCCTTAGCTCTTATACCTCCAAATTGTTTATATAATTTAGTGGATTTACAATCCTCATTTACTAGTGCAGATGAATTTCTTATTAATCATGGATCCTTTTGGCATAGTACATTATCAAAACCACTCCCATATTCTGTTAGTCTTTACAGTTACTATTATTCTTCTTTTAATATACAGATTGGAAGTGAAGAAGAAGTATATATATCACACATATATAGTCCCCAAAAATTTTATTGCCAGCTTGGTAGAAATAATAAAGATTTAGAGATGATAGAAACAAAAATCACAGAGATTATTAACTTTAAAAAATGTCCAAAATATAATTCTAGTAAAATGAGATTGTGTATATCTAAGTATATACAAGATGGTCTCTCATATAGAGCTTTAGCAATGCCAACAGATTCATCGTCTGACTTTCTAGTCTATTTTGTAGACTTTGGAAACAAGCAGTTGGTAGAAGAAAATATGTTGAGGGCTATTTCAGATCAATTTCCAGAGTTGCTGTTTACACCTATGCAGGCTGTTAAGTGTTTTTTGTCGGATCTTAGAGATGTAGATATTCCAGCAGAAATCAATAGCTGGTTTGAGGACAATTTCTTGGGAAAACAATTAAAGGCAGTAATTTTGTCCAGGGAGTCTGATGGACAACTTGGTATAGAATTGTATGATGGATGTCAACATATAAATAAAAAAATTAAAATGTTGCTTCATGCTTACGGGAAAAAAACATTGTGACAAAGCACACTGTCTGGAAAAGAGTCTCAAGATAAATGAGAATAAGAGACTTGCTACTTCATTGAAAGGCAGAATAGAAAACAACTATCCCCATAGTATGATAAATAAAACTAGTGTAGTAACATGTTCTGAAAGCAAAACAGATCAATTAATGCACTCCCAAAGTATATGTGCCAGGAATTGGAAACCACTAGTTTGTTATAAAATTGACTGTGTGTCAAAAAACAAAGTGAAGAAATTTTTAAATGACTGACTTAAAGGTGTAAAAATTGTCCCTGCAGTTATTCTTGGTGAAAGTGATGTGGGCTAAAAATAAATAAAAGTTGTATTACAGTATTTTATCAAAGAGTTAAATAAAATAGCCTCACAAAGTCATATCACTTTATTAGACTACAGATCAAAGACCTTCCTCGACCCAAAGTTTACTTGAATGCCAAAGTTAAGGGTATTTTTCTAGTATCAGTAATTCCTCAAGTTTTCACATTCAGCTTGCCAAAAATGAAAACGTAATCACTAAACTTGGAGATCCTTTAAATAAGAGAAGAGCAAATAACAATGAAAAAGAGAAAATCAGTTAAACCTCTCATGGGAGATCTTGTAGAACACTCTTGTGGCAGTTCCATTTAAAAGTAGTTATTAAGAAAATTTCTGGAAATTTTTTTGAAGCAAAACTTCTTGACTATGGTAACACTGCAATAGTAAACACATCTAAAATTTCTGAATTTAAGAAGGAATTCTTAACTAGTCCTCAGCTAGGAATTCATTCTTTCCTTAGTGGAGTAAAATGGAATGAGCCTGATGAAATATGGGGTAGCAAAACTGTGGATTATTTGGTATCAAGAGTGAGTAGCAAAACAATGTCCTGTAAATTCTTGAAAAAGCATGGCCATAAGTGGGAAGTAAATATAATTTGTGATGTAAAATGTGTAATAAATGAACTGCTGCAATAGATAGCATGTCCAAAACTATGGAAGACAGCATTGCAAATGCCTTGGGTTAGCTCTCAAAAAGTGAGCCTTGGTGATAACAATGAAATGAAAAAAGGGAGATTAAATAAGGGTGAAGGGTCTATGATTCTTCAACATCCTATCAATAGCTGTTTTAAATTCCTTTTGAAGAGTTAACACCTGGGCAACTTGAGAAAACTGAAATACTTCATGTTTCATGAAAGTGGAAGATTTTATGTGAAGTTATAAAAAAATCAGATTTAACAGTATTAGCTAATAATGAAGAAATGAATTTTCTTTTTTATCAATGGAAAACATTGAAAAGGGCTTAGAATGTTTGATAAAATCTAAAAACATTCTGAAGTGATACAATCAGAAGTAGAAGAAAAGTATGTTGAAGAGAAAGTGCTTTTTTAATTAGTAGATCATGGAAGGTGTGAAATAGCACTTTGATGTAATATCAAGGTGCTTAGAAATAAAATTAGAAACATTTCAAGACAAGCTGTGCTTTGTAAATGGATTTGACTTGAAAATTCTAGGAACATGTCATTTGAATCCATTTTGTGTTTATTTGCTCATTTGGAAATAAGTATCATTTTCATGAAATGTTTAGACTCTAGGAAGTAGAAATTTTAGTAGTTGGCCGGTTACTTTTGGAATATTTGAATTTAAATACAGTTCATGTTAAAGAAAACAAACTTAAAACTTCAGGAATTGTTTTCAGCCTTGAATCTAAGACTCCAGTGCTGTCATGTGCAATAAGATCATTTATTTGGGCACAACTCCAAAATGGTAGGCAGTATTCTGGTATTGCCACTGTTTTCCTGATCCATCAGACTTCTGTATTCAGTTAGATCATTTCTTTTACACAATGAAATATCTTTTTATGATGCTCTCTGATTTACCAGAAACCTTACAAATATGCCTTAGCACCTCATAATTCCTGGTTCTAGTGGTTTGAATTGGAACATCAGTGCAATAGAATAGAAGTTTCTGAAGTCTCAGATAACTCTTTATTTCTTATATTGATTGCTATGGATTTTCGTTACATATACTTTATTCATATATAATAAATCTTAAAGTTATTCCTGAGGAAATTTTGAATTTGCCAGAACTGAGTTATACGTGTATCTTATATGGTACCTTACCCTGATAAAGGGAAACACTGGAGTGAAAAAACCCAAATGCTTTGGCAAGATTTTCTAAGTAAACCAGCCTTAGTTTTTCAGGTTAGGGAATATAATTCTGATACAAAACAGAAAGGAGATGTCATTCATGAGAAAAGCAATTTGGCAGTTATATCAGTTGCATCTGGTCTCGCAACGTGGTCTGAAGATTCAGCTCATCTTGTGATAACTGCTACTGGATCAAATAAAATTCAATGTAAATTACAGAGTACGTCTATTTGCCTGTGATTAGATCAAAATTGTTACAAAAAAGAAAATATAAATTGTACATGAACTAAGAAACAAAAGCTAAAAAAAGAAAAGCAAAAATCTATACAGAGGAAAGATGTCTACAAGCACCTTTTAAAGAAAACTCATATTAGCAAAAGATTACTTTCTAGAAATTTAACACTGAGAAAGGAAGTTGGTAGTGGAAAACATCTCCAGAGTATCATTACTCTTTATACATGTGCAACAACATTTTGGAAACTGTCTGATGGTTTGAAAAATAGCATCAATTGTGTTGCAAACATTTTTGAAAATCTACCAACTGAAGGAATATAGGAAAACAATGTAATTGACTTGAGAACAGCATAAAAGTATTGGATGTTAATGAAAAAAATTATATCAAAAGAATACTTAAATGTAAATAGCCATTGTTAAAAGTAGATTTTTTTGTGTGTAAATTCTATTTTTGATTTTTAAAAAGTTTTTTGTGTACTCAAATTATTCAAATCAAAACTTATTGCCAAAAATTACTATAAAATTGGAGTACATTGATAAACTGATAATAGGCACTTGTATTATAAAACTATGATTTACTATATTATTCTATTTTGGGTGGTAAACTTTTTGGAATGTGGTAAATGTAGCTTTTAACCACACATGCATGACATTTTACAAATAATTTCAAAGATTTTGTAAAACTCTTAAAGGTCTCTAGCTCTCAGATTAGTAAATCTTGCTTTTATTAGTGAACTTCCTGGACTCATTTTGAAGAATCCATCTTCTGTTATATATTGTTTCATATCATATGAATTATATACTTAGATTTTTCTGAGCTTGCTAGTGGCATATTTCTAAATCACCTAAATTTATAAAATAAACTGATCCTAAGCACATTTTTTCTTAAATTATATAGCTATCAAACCGATTCTAAAAGATTACGATTATACCACATTGGTGACTGGCAAATTTTTCACTTTCCTAATACTGAGAGCAAGTGAAACTTAAAAAAAAAAATCTGAAACTGGTTGCTGCAACTTCTGTCATTAAGCACAAGTGAAAAGATCTTTTCTAAATTGTCACCTTTTTCACAATACACCTGAAAGTTGCAGACATATCTAATACTTGCCTCAGACACCACTCTGACTAGCATTCCATACTTTGTATTTTTCTTCAGATTATAAATCTGAAAAAACAGTCTTCCATGATGAGGTAAATTTGCCTCATCGGCAACCAGGAACAGAATTTAGAATGACGTAAATTTACATCAGTGGCCATGTTACTATTTTATGTGCTCTAGTATTGTCTGCGTTTGCTCATGTATATTATGTTTATATTCTATTGACTGTTACTGATGATTTTGTAGCCTATAAAGAATGTTCCCTATTGAATTTTTTTAATTTATAAACTTTATATTATTCCATATTCTGTATTATAACTAACATTATAATAGATTACACTTTTTCAATGAGTGGAGGTGTCTTGTTTTCATTGATGTAATATAAGAAAGTGTTTTATTTGAATTCATATTTAGATGTTATATAGTAAATTGAATAATGCTTTAAAATTAGCGCCTTTTTTCCTCCTAATTTTGGAATCTTTCATTAGTAGAAGTAGTTATGGTAGTGATAGAAGTAGCTACCGTATTTTGAGTGCTTACTATGTTCCAGGCACTGTGGAGTTTTATATATATATAATCTCATTAATACTTGCTACATGTCTGCAAAGGAGGTTGATAATTAAGGTTTAGATAGAGCCTAATAACTAGTATGCCATTTTTTGGTCTGAATTCTAAAAGACTTTTGAAGAAAACACTTTAGAAGGAGAAAGACAATGGTAAGCAAAGTGTTAAACTTATACAAAATAAACAAAAACAAAAATGATATTGAAGAATGTAGTCTATATTCATGGAAAAATTGGCTCACCAATACACAATCAAGGAATTATTTAGACTTACCCAAGGAATTATTTAGGCACAGACAAGAACATCTTCATATGGGAGCCCATCCATGTAAAATGTATAGCCTGAGGCAATTGTCCTCAAAAGAAAGGGAGGGGTAAGAGGCTAATCTAACATATGCCTTTCTCCTTCTGAATGGACCAATTAGATTTCCCTTATATGGAAGCATGAAGGAAGGGAGCAAAGAGATTAGAGATCATGCTAGGAGAGTGCCCTACCCATTAATACCTCCATGGAGAAGGAAACATCCAGAAGGAAAGAAACATTCTCTTAGATATCACCACTTTATGGATGAGTCTTAAGGAAATTAAATATCTTGTCCATGAATTTAAAGCTGGTAAGTAAACTCAGATGTCTCTGATTGCTTTTATTCATTACTTATGCTGCCTTTTGAAAAGTAGTTCAGTTACCTGAGGGAGATTTTTCTACAAATGGTCATCAAACTGTACATTTTGATCATTATACATCGTATTATATCTTTACCCATGTATATGTGTGCTTTCTTTATATGTTTTTTCCATCAAATTATTTTTTTTTCTTTATTTTAAAGATGTGAGGTACTAGTTAGGATTAAGTACATAAGTGGTCTACATACAGGTGAAGTTTGAGCCTCTCACTGCTCCTCACTTCCCCTGGTTTAGTTAGGATCAGGTACCCTTAGTGGTATTATGTGCCCCCCACACCCCAGCATTGTCCTGCTACTGCAACTTCTCTCTTGTAGTATTGTGATAAATGTTCAGGACCCACTTATGAGTGAGAACATGTAGTATTCAGTTCTTTGTAATAGATTATGATAGACTCTAAATCCATCCAACTTGCTGTGAAGTCCATTATTTTGTCTTTCTTTATAGCAGTATAATATTCCATTGTGTATAAGTACCACATTTTAAAAATACAGTCTAATTTCAATGGGGAGCATGGTTGGTTCCATGTTTTTGCTATTGTGAGTATGCTGTAATAAGCATCCCTGTGCTGGTATCTTTTTTTGTAGAATGATTTGAGTTCCTCTGGGTATGTTCCCAGAAGAGGGATTGCTGGATCAGATGGAAGGTCAATTTCTAGATCTTTAAAAAATCACCACACTTTAAAAAAAAATAGAGGTTGTAGTAGTTTACACTCCCACCAACAGTGTAGATCCATTCCCTTTTCTCTACATCCTCACCAGCATCTGTTGTCTTTTGATTTATTAATGATGGCCATTCTCACTGGAGTTAGGTGGTATCTCAATGTGGTTTTGATTTCCATTTCTCTGATGATTAGTGAGACTGAGCATTTTTTCATGTATCTATTGGCTGTTTGTATATCTTATTTTGAGTAATGTCTATTCATGTATTTTGCCCACTTTTTAATAGGGCTGTTTGTTTTTTTCTTTCATTTGAGTTCCTTTTAGAACCTGGATATATGCCTTTGTCATATATACAGTTGGCAAATATTTTTTCCCATTCTGTGGGCTGGCTTCCCACACTCTTGATGGTTTCTTTTGCTTGGCAAAACTTTTCAGTTTGATGAGGGCCCACTTGCCTATCTTATCTCTTATGGCACACACATTTGGGGTTATGATCAAGAATTGGTTACCTATTCCAATGTATATGAGTGTCTCCTGTGTTTTCTAAGAGTCTTAAAATTTGGGGTTCTACATTTAGGTTTTTGATCCATTTGCAGTTAAATTTTATGTATGGTGAGAGGTAGGGGTCCTGTTTCATTCTTTTGCTCAAATTCTTTAAGAACATTCTTTGGCCCCTATTTTTATTTTCTAGCACACAGTGAATAAGTGAGTTAAAGTGAAAGTAGCTGTTGTTAAAAACATTTAGGGCAGAGCTTAAGATGGTGGTCAGCAGGTTGGGCTTAAAGAATCTTCATGGAGGCAAGTGACAATAAAGACTCTCCACGTGAGTAGGTGGATACTGGTGGGAGTGTGAAAGTCAGTCTGAGGGAATACTCAGATACATGCATCTGGGTTCCCTCTCTGAGGGTGACTGCAAGCCCCCACCAACCTGATATTAGAGCACAGCTCACAAGATTGCACGCATAAACGTCTGCTGCCCGTGGAACGGCCCTGAGAAAAGCCTGCTGAATCCAACTGATTCCCAGCACCTGGCACCTGGCGCACACCATCACCTGTCAAACTGGACTGCTGGAGCATAGGATTTGATTATTGGAGAGAGATCATGGGGGGAATCTGGAGAGGAATAAGTGCCTGGTGTGGAACCACCCATCACAGCTATTTTTCAGGCAGAGATTTACATTGCCCCCCAGCCTCCAATCTGTTGCCTAAGCAGCATGAACAAACCAACAAAAACATTTATCAAAACCAACAACATTTCCCCAAAGCCCCAAAGGACATGGACGCTAAACAGCATGATGCTAAACAAGGACTGGGTCAACACTGAAATCAGAGAAGAAATGGAAAGCTACCTGGAAACAAATGAAAATGAAGAAACATCTTATCAAAACCTCTGGGATGCCATGAAATCAGATCTATGAGGGGAATTTTTATCTCTGTGAGTACACATCAAGAAAATGGAAAGATCACAAATGGAGAACCTAACAAATCACCTAAGGGAGCTGGAAAGAGAAGACCACCACAACCCCAACTTTAGCAGAAGAATCCAAATTACAAATAGAAGATCCCAAATACAGGCCATGGAAGACAAAAATATCATAGAAAACATCAACAAAGCAAAAAGCTGGTTCTTTGAAAGAATTAACAAGATTGATGGGTCTCTAGCCAGAATGACCAAGAAAAAGAGAGAAAAGGCCCAAATAAGCAATCAGAAATACAAAAAATCAAATCACAACTGACCTCAAAGAAATACAAAGGATTATCAGAGATTACTATGTACACCTATATGGAAACAAATTTGATAACCTAGATGAAATGGAGGCCTTTCTGATATCACACAACCTCCCCAGGTTGAAAGAAGAAGACAGTGAGACATTAAATAGACCAGTAACAACCCAGGAAATTGACTCTGTCATACGAAAACTACCTACCAAAAAAAGCCCAGGGCCAGATGGCTTTCCAGCAGACTTCTACAAAATGTACAAGGAGGAGCTGATACCA